ACGCTCTGCACACAACTCATGGGCACGCCTCAGGGAGCGGTTTTAGTTGAATCCTGCTCTAGTGGACTCTTAGTAAAAAGTAGCAAAGCACTCTGAATACGTTGCTGAGGTCCTTACAAATTATCATTAACTTTTACATTCACCTGCCACCGTAAAGAATGAGTTCGTACAGACTGGCTCTAAGAAAAACGGAACAACTGCTTCTGAAATCAATAAACACGTGTAACGATGACTAACATCTTCACGCTTTCTCGCCATAGGAAACGACGAAGATTTTTATAGGGTTTTGATTTCCCTTCAAACAGAAGGGAAATGAGGACTTCCATCTTTTACAGAAGAGATTACACAATCACCCACAAATGTCAGTCAGAAAGTGCGACCCTTTTAGGCTTTTCTTTTTAGGACACGCACATTATACCGTTTATGTTAACTCTTAAGGTATAAAGAACAGGTAGTACATAGTTTTGAAAAACCAACGTGTGTGTGTGTGTGTGTGCATATACACATCCTTGCATATGACCCACTTTTGGCATTTGTAATTATTTAACGCATAATTAGAAACCACCTACTTATCCAGAGAACTTAAATTGCTTTTGTTCATTTTCCACACTACTCCCCACACTTCATCGCCAGGACTTTCAAAAATGGTGGCTATACCTCCATGCCAAATTTCACTTTCTTTGCCTTCGAAATTGCCAAAGTCAAGCTTAAAATCCTACAAAGAAAACCAAAGTGATATGAGTAATAGCCTCTTGCACCAAAATTTTCCTCCTCAACAACAACAAAAAAGAGTGATTTACCTTGAATTTCATGCAATTAAAGCATAAACTTTGAGTTCCTTCTATGCGTAAGAAGCTGTGGAAAATACAAAGATAAACAGAAACCCAGATCTCAAGGACTGTATGTATTTTTCCTATTCTTCTTTAAAAAATTAAATATATACTGAATATGTACATGTATTTCACCATAAACAACAGGTTCAAGGGGAGAGAAAAATCTCATAATGCTGATGTCTCAGCACCACTATTTTCATTTTTTAAAATTGCATCCCAGTCTACTGGCCCGTAGACTTTAACGCAGAGGCGGTCACAGGGTGTGTTACTGACACGGGGCAGCTACACAGGGGTGGTGACGTTCTCTCTACCTCTGTGCACGTACAGAGCATCCCACTGGTGCGCATCGCTGTGTCTGCCCTAAGGGAGCTGGCCTGGGCGGGTGATTCGTGTACTTATGAACACTAATCTAATACTCATAAGTTGTACTAATATACCTATAACTATCATAAAAGCAGCTAATACATCCCAGGAAATTACTGGGTTCTGTACACTGGGCTATGAGCTTTATATAGGCTCATTTTTATCCTGCTTAATGACCGTACTGTACCCATTTCACAGCAAGAGAAGCTGCGGCTTACAAAGATCAAGCAACTTGTCTAAGGCCTCACCACTAACAAGCAATGGGGCCAGGTCTCCAGTCTGGCTTCTTCCCTCACGGAAAGGGTGTGGTCCGGCGGAAGCATAAGCCTTCTCACTCGGCTGTTTGGTCTGGGAAGATTTCTTTTCCATCTTTCCCCAAATTAACTTCCTTAATCATAAAATACAAATGGATGCACTAGATAGTAAGTCTAAGGTTTATATTTGATCTTTGTCCCCTTTATTTTCTTAAAAACCTTGCCGGACACTTCAGGGAAAAGGTTGTTTTGAGTGACCGGTACCTTCCGCTGGTATATTGGATATCCCGGGACCCAGGCTCCCATCAGACGGTCTGGTAAAAGTCACAACCACACTAGGAACTGGCTGTCTACTGCTAAATCCAAGGGACAATTTTCACTTTTCATCTTGTTCCACTCCTCGGCTGCTCCTGACACAGTGACCCACCCTGTCTTCCTGCACCTCTTTACTGACTTTCGGGCTGTCCCTCGATCTCCTCGGTCCCTGTGCCCGCTCCTCCTCCGCGACCCGGTCTTCAAACGTTGGGGCTCCCGAGGGCTCAGTTGAGGCCGTCTTCGCTGTTCATTCAGCCGTGTGCTCAAGCCGACCTGGTCTCCTCCAACAGCTTCAATTACCATCCGACATTCCAGTCATCTTTTAATCCAGCCCAAATCTCTCTCTCTCTGAGCTTCGAACATGCTTAGAACAGGCCCGGCCCATACTGAGTACTTGATAAATGTTCACTAATATTTTTCTGCTCAGTTGGATGTGAACCAAGCATCCCAGACCCGGTATGTTCAAACCGAGCTTGAGGTTCCCTCCCAAACCTATTGTTCTCTTTGCAAACATCGCCATCACCCACTCTATTATTACACCAACCACCTGAGTCATCTGTATTATCTCCTCCTCCCTTTATAATTAGTCACCAAGAAGATGACACTGTTACCTCCTAAGTATCTCCCAAAGCGACCTCCCCTCCACTGCTACCACTCAAGGCGCCATAATCTTCAGTATGGGCTGCACAAGAGGTTTTTAACTGGGTTCCCCGCATCCAGTTTCCCCTCACTCGGACCCATTTTCACAGCAACCAAGTGCGTTTTCGAACATGTACATCTGATCTTTCGTTTGCTTCACTTCTGCAATGGGTCTTCTCATTGCTCTCGAGTTAAAAACCAAAGTCTTCTTTGGCCCCTGGGGTCCTGCAGCACGTGGCCCTTCCCTACCCCTGTAGTCTTCATGCTGTGTCTTCCTCCCATGCTCAGCTCCGGCCTCACTAGCTGGATGATCCAGCTTCTCTCCTGAGGTCTTCTGCACACGCCACCGCTTGTTTGGGTTGCGTCTTCCCTCCCCCAATCATTCAGTCTCGGCTTTAAAGCCATGTTTTCAAGAAGAGCCTTATTGATCATTCTAGCTAGGTTAGGTCTCCAGGTCATCCAGGGGTGTCCAACCTATTGGCATCTCTGGGCCACACTGGAAGAAGAAGGCTTGGGCCACACATGAAACACACATACACAAAAACCGATGAGCAAAAAAGGTTTTAAGTAAATTTACAATTTTGTGTTGGGCTGCATTCATAGCCATCCTGAGCCACATGCAGCCCGCAAGCTGGACACCCCTGTTACACCTTCATAGCGCCTTGTTCATCTCCTTTAAAAAATAAAAAAACACTTTACTTTTTTAGAGCAGTTTTAGGTTCATAGCAAAACTGAGAGGAACGCACATGTCTTCTTTGTAAGACTAGCCATACCTGTAACTGAATAGTCATTTGCTTGATAGCTCCTCCCCTCATCTCAATGAGAAGTATCTGAACTCCTTTCCCACATTTGGGGAATTCCCTGTCTTATGCGTCTGGGGGCGTTGAGTGTGCCAGAGTCCCACTCCCAATCCTGAACCCTAGACGCCAGAAATTGGTTCTCCCAGCGTTGCCTGCAGTCAGGGCACAGGCATGTGGCCGAGACTTAGCCAGTGTGGGCACCCCCCAGGGCTTTGAACTGTGCCCGCCCAAGGACAACAGAAACTCCACCCTGGGGGTGGCGGCCACGTCTGGGTTTCAGGAGCTGCAGGGATGTAGTGACAGCAGCAGGCAGAGTCCAGAGCCGGTGGTGCTCGTAATGCAAGAGGCGGTGTCTACAGTTACTGAGTTCAGCGAGGGTGCAGCAGCGGCCTCCTGGCTGCTTCTGCCTGTGACGTTGGCTGTACTGCGGTTACTGGCCTCCCATTATGCTTGCCTGCTTCGTGCACTTTGTGGTCCTACTTTCCTGGTCATTCTGTAAGCTCTCCAGCAGTTTTTCAATACATTCTTTTCCTGCTTAAATCAGCCACTTTCTTTTGTTTGCAACTGAGAACCCTGATGACAGCGAAGGCCATGTCTGTCTAGTTTAGCAAGCCAAACGGTTTTGTAACAATTTGCCTGTATGTTTCTCCTATAGCCTGGGAGGCTCTCAAAGCAGCCAGCTTACCCAATCAACTTTGTGTCTTCAGGTAAGTGCTGGAAGAATATGTACTAATGAATGAATGGAATGAACTGAAGAGCAGTGATTTTTCCCCCTAGATGGGTTACCGTTCATCCAGCCACTTAACTGAGCACAGCCCTTACCAGGAATAAGACTCGGTTCCAGCTCTCAGGGCCTCTCAGTTTGGGGGATGGGGGGAGTGAAGGGTAGGTAAACGGATTAGTACGATACCAGGTGACCAATCCAGTAGCAAAAGTATGTATATAACAGAAAACAACTGATTCCCTGACTTGGGTCAGAGGAAGCTTCTCAGAGGTGTCAACTGAATGGATTCAGTGAGGATGCCCCTGAGTTGGTGGATGAGAGGTAGCCAGATCTGGGCAGTATGAGCAGTTTGTGGGAACCTTAGGTGGTGAGTCGTCGCAGCCTGGGGACGCGCCGTTGTTGGGGTGGCAGCGCTCAGTACGAGTCAAGCATAGAGCCAAGAGGGCCAGGTGTGCTTGCCCAGGAGGGCAGCAGCCAGATCATGAAGATAAGACCAACTCTCATCTGGAAGAGCTGCGCGCCTGGCCCCCGGTCTGTTGAGTGGGTCCAAAGTCGCGAGGAGGGGCGGGGCACTGACCTGCAGGAGGGCCACGCACAAGAACCTGGCCGAGGGGTTTTGGAGGTGGATCCGCTGGGTCAGCAGGTTGCTGCCGTAGGCAAAGTACAGAAAACTCTCCTCCTCCTGGCCCCGCTGGTTCTTGAAGCCCGAGGTCGCCATGTCCCGTCAGACGCTCGCACGGCCCGGGCGTCGGCAGCAAGGGTGTGAGGAGAGGACAGCGAGTGCCGCGTAGTCGGGGGGATGACACCAACTCGGTGGTCCCCACACCGCCGCCTCCAGCGTTGGGGCCAGGCAAGAAGTGTGTGTCCCGTGAGTCAGCGGCGAGCACTCTTCTGATTGGCTATAGGTCCTAACGCTACAAGTAGCCCCTTCTGATTGGTCAACGGCGCCGCCGCCTCGGTACTTTCCTCTTAGACTCGGAAATGCTCTATCGTGAGGCCACTGGGTTCTGATTTCTCATTGGACACGCTCCTCTCTTGCCCCGCCCCCGTGATCAAGGGTGTCTCTCATTGGCGGGTGGGCGGGCTCTTTGCAGCGGCTGTTCAGGTCGCGTGGGCTTGTTTCAGGGGTCCTGGCGTGCGGGTCCCAGCAGGATTTTTTACTCTCGGCGTGTCTAGGAAGGGGTGAATGTGAGTACGTGGCCGTTTGTGCACTTTAGGGGGATCGGGGCAGATCTGAGCCGGGACAGCGACCCTGGCTACCACAGTTTCCTCCCCCTGCAGCTACCCCCTGGAACGGTTTGGAGGAATCTGTCAGGAAGGGTCTGGTCACCCCACACGCTGGTTCCCGCGTCCTCAGCCCACTTGGTCTCCTTGATACCTTTTCTAGGGACCCTTTGCCTCCTGGAGAAGCCCCTCTGAATGTCTCGGGCTCCCTTCCCTGACGGAAGTACCGTGCCGGGTTCAAATTCCGACGCTGCCCGTTGGTGTAAGTATTAAAAGAGTAATTTGTGAATGTCACAAGGGCAAAAACCCTAGTGTAAAATAAGATTACAGGAGTATAAAAACAATGAAATAGAACTCTATATTGTTAACTTTGAAATGGAGAGATTCATATGAACTCAGGGCCTAAAAGCAGTATCCTTGGCAACCAGATTTTGACCTCTAAATATTTTCCAGGTAGGGGTACCAGGGCTCCTAGGGGAAAGGGCTGGGGCCACGTCAGGAGTTGGGAATGAATGAGTGCTTGGAACGCCTGGTGACAGAAAGTCAGGAAGTAGCCTAGTAAAACGAGGTCTTTTTAAATGGACGTGGGAGCCAGCTTGAAGGAATGCCTACTGGCCAAAGTTTGAACAATTTGAGCTTCAAAAATGATGACTGCAATTGATTGAACATGTCATATAAAAGTCATTCCCCAGAAGGAGTGAGCCTAATCTAAAAAAACAGTTTTTGAAAACCCCTGCCCTGGCTGGCGTAGCTCAGTGGATTGAGCGCGGGCTGCGAACCAAAACATCGCATGCTCGATTCCCAGTCAGGGCACATGCCTGGGTTGCAGGCCATGGCCCCCAGCAACTGCACATTGATGTTTCTCTCTCTCCCTCTCTCTCCCTCTCTCTCCCTCCCTTCCCCCTCTAAAAATAAATAAATAAAATATTTTTTAAAAAAAGAGAAAACCCCTATTTCCCATGCTACTTACTGGTGGGGACTATGACACCAACTCTTGACTCTGGAAAGTGGTAGTTGAGGAATATGAATTAAGCATTTCTCCTGCCTTCCAGTTGCACGTGTACTGCAAAGTAATCAAGTAGCCCCAGTTGATGTGGAAATAGTTCTTTTTACAGAAATATGCCAGCCAAATAATGTAAAATGAATGATAGAAAATCAGTATTTTGCAGACCCTAATAACTGATTCGTGCCAGGATCGTTCACGAAAGGGCACTAAGGAACAGAATGTTAACATGTGCACGATTATTCCCCAGGGATTGCTTGCGGGTCATCAAGGGGGAAACAGAACGACAGCGGAAGAGTCGGGCCCCTCCCACCTTAACCTACGTGAGTCTCGTCATCACTGAATGTGGACTAGCCTGATACTGCGTCTTCAGCATCATCTGTGAGTATTATATCCAAAAATCTTTAACTTCAACATAAGCAGGATCTACAGGATTGAAGAAAAAAGTGACACCACGAGGAAAAATCTAAAGCAAGCGATAGAACATTCTGCAGGACAAATAGCTTCGTCTCGTAAAGCCAGTCAGCGTCATTAACAGCAATAATAAAACCCTTCGCCGCTTTTCGTGCGCTGCCGCTCTTCCGGCGTCATGGTGCCGTCACTGTGGAAGGGGCTGGTGGGCATCGGCCTTTTTGCCCTAGCCCACGCGGCCTTTTCCGCTGCACAGCATCGTTCTTACATGCGGTTAACAGAGAAGGAGGATGAATCCCTGCCAATAGACATAGTTTTTCAGATACTGCTGGCCTTTACAGTTACCTGCTATGGGATAGTGCACAGTGCGGGAGAGTTCAAAGACATGGATGCCACTTCGGAACTGAAAAATAAGACATTTGACACGTTAAGGAACCACCCGTCGTTTTACGTGTTTAATCATCGAGGTAGGGTACTGTTCCAGACTTTGGAGGCGACAAACTCTTCAGACAAAGGGGCGCTGGCCTCTCTCGCATCCCTGACGCCCCGGAAACTTGAATCACTGCACCAGTAGGACTTTTTACAAATCGTAACGGGACAGGTCACAGAGCCGGAATGTTGGCGTTTGGGATCAAAAAACAACTCCCCCCACTGGTATTTATATTGATCCTTCAGATCCAATTCTAAAAAGTCTCTGGCCCTTGTCTGTATACTGTTAATCAAATCACTGGTGCAGTAGGAGTTATCTGGGAAATACGTCTTTGATCTTTCCTAGAGAGAGTTCGTGTTTTCATTTAAAACAAATTTGCATCTTTTGTAAAAGTCACTGTTTTGAACACATTTCTTTGAAGGAAGCGTTGATGGTTTTGTAATTGTTTTCTTAGGTTTCTTTTCCTTTGCACGGCAGTGTTCAGGGTCCCTTGGGCAGCAGTGCACTGCTCTGTTTGTGCAGTGTGAGTGACAGAGAACGGTCTTCAGTGCTGAACACATGGACTCGCTGTGCTTGTGTGTTTTAAATAAATATACTAGTGACCAAAAGTATAGAGGAGTTATTATTAATTAAATGCAGTCCCGGGTTATACAAGTGGTGTGACATAAATATACACCAGCGGCCACAAGGATGTGGAAATAGCCGTTGTTGGGAAACAATTCCACGTGTTGCCTGCAAACCTACAGGGACTTGTCCTCGACTCACCCGTCTCCTGGAAACCTCACATTCAGTCAGTCAGTCAGCAAGGTCTGCTGTACACTTTGTCTCCACCCTCCTCTTCATTCCCATGGTCCCCGCCCTCTCCCTGCGGGCATCAGCTCGCACCCGGGTTAGGGCCACAGCTTCCCGCCTGGTTTCCCTGACCCGGCTTTTCCTTGGAGGTGGGGTAAGGGTGCACATCGCTAAGGGCGGTACAGAGGTGGGCTTGGAGACTGGTGAGCAGCCCAGTTTCTGTAGAGCCAGGGGTTCCTGTTAGGAAGTGGGAGGTGAGACTGGAAGAAGGTCACTAGTTTATGGGAGGACCTTGAAATTTGCGTTGCAAGCTCGGACTACTTGGTGGTGAAAGGGAAGACAGTTTTGACTCCCCAGCAGAGAGAGCCCTTGGACCTCTGGACACTCGTTCTTGTGGTTCTGACTGGGATCGCCTGGGAGGGCGTTGGGCGGGTTCATGGCCGAGTACTGGATACAAGTTCATTGCAGTAGGCAAGGACATGAAAGCCTCGAGATGGGGTAGTAGTTAGGGAATGCACATGAAGGGATGGAAGGGAGTGAAGATAAGTTCTTGTACTTTGCTCCTCATATCACTTCTTTGGGCAGAAACCTTCAGTAGCTGTCTGTTCCTCACTCTATCGAGGCCACGCTTTTATGCAAGCCATTACTATCTGATTCCACTCTGTGCAGCCGGTCTGATTTTTCAGTGGCTGGCAAACCCTTTGGAGACAGGGACCACACCTTCTGTTTCTGTACAGATAGCGCGACTGCCCCAGCACAGATGAGCGATAAACGTGTGCTGACTCAGGGAACCAGAGTCGAGATCTCCCCACACTCCACACAGCCTCCCAGACCCTTCCTTCAGGACGACCTTTTCCGGCTTCCCTTGCTCACCTTGCTGTCCCGAAACACGTGTGTCCTGTAGCTCTGACTAGAGATGTAAAAATGCTTTAGCATACGGGATTCTGCATGGGTTGTATTGGCCATAGTGGGATTTGTATCTGTTCCCAGCTTGCGTATGGTCTGGGAATTGACGGGAGCGTGCCACAACATATTAATCAGAAGTAGGTTTTCTTTTGGGGGGGGGGGGGAATACATTATAAAGCTCCAGTAGGCAGTCATGTCTCAGGATGTTGGACAGATCCCCTGCGTGCCTGGTCTGAGATTAACCCTGGAAAGTGGTTCCAGTACAGTGCGTTGTTTAGCGCTTAGTCGTAGTCTCCCGTGATATCTCTGTCCCCGTGGTCATGTCTGTAACCGCGCACTTGGGACAGCGTTACACAGACTGCCAGTCGCGCTTCTCTGAGGGGAGGGACATGGGGTTGGAGGGTAGGGATGGGGAAGCAAGTTGAACAAAAAGCTTTCATTTTTTTTTTGGTTCTGTATTCCTTTGTATTTTTTGTGTTTTGAGCATATATTCCGGTATTACTTTTATTATTTAAACATATATAAAATTAAAATTTGGAACAAAAATTCACATCCTACAGAGGTTTAGGTCACAGTCCAGAGAGCGGGTGTTGGGAGGATAAGAAGAGGGGGAACACGAACTTAATGGCCTGGAGAGACTGATGCAGCACACACACACCCCTGAGCCGCCTGCCTCCCGAGCCCTGAGAGAATCGGGCCAGGGCAGCTAACCTCGCTCTGCGGAAAGGTGCCTCCTCCCTCCGTGCGGCCGCAGCTGCCAGCTGCGATAGCGTCCAGCTGGGTTTCCCTCTCGGCTCTCTGAGGTATCCGTGGACATGAGGACCAGAATGCTACCCCGGTCTGGTTTGGGGAAGTCACACACGCGCCCTAGAACAGGAATCTGCTAGACCCCCCTGCCGACCTCCAAGGACACGTGCAGAAGACCCTGGAAATACAGTGCGTCAGCTGTTCGATGTCATTTATCGCAGCTATGTTTGACCAGGATGTACCAATCCCCAGATTTACTACTGCTAATGTTAAAACCTGACAACCTGCACCATAGCGAATATATTCATCTCCTCGGCTTACATGTCCATGTTATTTGCAACACCTTCACATCAGTTGAAATATAAAAGGAGACATTGCTGCATGTTTCTACTGCCAGTCACAGCAGTAAACAAATAACACCTCAGCATGTGGGTTGCCTTAAGTGAAAATCCCAACTGCTCCTCTGGTGATAGACCTCATTCTTCCCAGAAGGAAGTGTAAACTCGGTAAATCCTTAATCTCAAGCAAAATAATTAGATGGGAGCCAAGGTCTTCTTTTCTTTTTTCTTTTTTAAGATTTTATTTATTTATTTTTAGAGAGGGAAGGGAGGGGGAAAGAGAGAGAGAGAGAAACGTCAATGTGCGGTTGCTGGGGGCCTGGCCTGCAACCCAGGCATGTGCCCTGGCTGGGAATCGAACCTGTGATGCTTTGGTTCGCAGCCTGTGCTCAATCCACTGAGCTATGCCAGCCAGGGCGAGCCAAGGTCTTCTTAATACCCTTACACAAAATCGGTTTCAGCATGAAAGAAACTCAGTTTAAGCGCTTTGATACATGGATGGAAGGTGAGAACGGCACTTGAGTTCTCGGCCTTCGTTAATGTGCTCGGACTTCATGTTTTCAGTGCCTTCAATAGCATTTAATCAGTAATCAGCACTTGTCAGAGACATGCACACCCGTGGCGTGCTTTACTTGACTGCAAAACAACTCTGGCTATTTGGAACTCTTTCCAGAATAGCTGATCTTCATTATTTTCTGCTTTCACGTGAATGCAGCGCATCCTGCTAGCAGAGCTCCCAAAAGACATCTCTACCTCTTGTCTTTGTGAAAATGCTCATTGGCCAAGAAGACAACTGAAACTGTACAGCGGAGTAACCAAGACTCAGCTGACCTGCTGAAAATGAGTTATTCGTGGGAGAGATAGGTATGTTTTGTGTGGAGCGAAGAAACTTGCTTCAGTAAGATCCTTCTCTAAGCTCGCTGTGGGCAGTGCCTTTTACACGCATCTTTTCCAGACGCGTTCAGAACTGTGCTTCCAGCTAGCGAAGTCATAGGGACTCTTGGACTTGCTGCAGGAGGATGCCACAAAATTGGGGTGGCGAAACTGTACTCCCGAGACCCCACAATTCCGCTCCTAGGCGTCTACCTGCATGAAGCGGAAACAGGCACCCACACACCAACACTCGTGCACGAATGTTCACGGCAGCACGGTCGTAGTAGCCAAAAGGCAGCAACCACCCAAGTCCGTCAAGGGATGAATGGGTGAGCAAAAGGTGGTGTGTCTGCGCAAGGGAAAGACCTACGGCCATGAGAAGCAGTGACGCAGGGACACATGCTGCAATGTAAATGAACCTCAGGACCATGATGGTAGTGGAAGAAGAGGCAAAGTGTCACATCGTATTATTTTATTTATATGAATTACCCAGAATAGGTAAGCAATAGACACAGGAGACTGATTGGTGGTTCCCGAGGGCTGGCGGTGGGGAGTGGGGAGGAGAGAAAATTTAGTGGGTATGAGGTTTCATTTGGGACGAGGAAAGTGTCTTGGAATTGGAACGTACTACTTTCCACCAAAAAGGTAAATTTTATGTTATGTGAATTTCACCTCAGTGGGGGAAAAAAAAACCCATAAAAAGCCTTATTTCCAGGGGTTTCTGATCAGTGGTTGTAAGAAGTAACAGCAGAATGTTGGCCGGTAACTTGGACATCAAACTCCTTCGCGCTGAGGTGGGGGTGAGGAGTTTAAAGGATCTGACGTGAGTCCCTAACAGCTCAGTCCTGTCCCCACACACACTGGGCAGGCAGAAGGCATGGGGGCCCTTCTGTTTGGAAAGCGGTGGTGCCAGGAGCTCTGCCCCCTAGCGGGTGCTTGGGGGATGCTGAACCGTGGGAAGGGATGCTCAGTCACCACAGATGTGCCACTCCTCCCCTGGGGTCTCCTTCTTACGCGTCCTGTGCCCCATTAACAGTGTGGGGCGTGCAGGAATAGCAAAGACACTCAGCAGCAACATTCCCTGGAGTGGGATCTGTGGGACATCAGCCCCGTGGGATGGTCCTCCATCCAAAAAACGGCTCCTGTGGCCCAGTGAGCTGGGAAACGCTATCGTACGCACTTCCTCTTGGAGATCCCCTGCGGCTGTCATCACTGGAAGGAACCTGAGGACACCTGTCACTGAGGAACCTGGCGAGCTCTGATTAGTCCCAGTTTCCCCCAAACCTCTGGTTGCAGAGCCCCTTCGATGTGGGAAACACTGTGATTTTTTAAGGATAGTTGTTGAGTTCTTGAACAATCCTATTACCTAAAATCTAGCATTATCCAGAAAAGTTGAAGACAAGTGACGGTGTTCGTTAGATGTTATTTACTGGTTTAATATGATTTCAAAGCCGCTTGTGCATGACTTAAGTGAAGTTGTTTCAGTCCACCTGTTTTTGACAAAGACAACTAAAACGTTTTTACCAGTAATAGTGTCTTGACATAAGAACAGAGGAGGTGGTGTCGGTGTCATCGTTGCATCTGTTGCTGGAACTGCGAGGGACCCACTGGGGCTTATCGATAACATGTGGAGAAGCAACTGTGGCCACATACAGTACTGTATTCTGTAGTACTTAGTACTTAGAGTACTGTAGAGTACTTAGAGTGCTCTAAGTCCTCTAAGTACTTAGAGTACTGTAGTGCTAAGTACTTAGAGGACTTAGACTATAAGTGCTGACCATTTGTGAGGACAATTTGAGAGCTCTGGTCTGGGCAAGGCGGACTTTGCTGACCTAGCTCTTCCAAGTCCCTTGGGGCGTCCACTCTTGTCTTAGCAAGGTGACTCCTTACACACAATGGTTGTAAGCCACGCAGTGGCCCCTCAGAGGACTCATCCTGGCTACCAACATGTGGTT